GTTAACGGCTGGGCACGGTGGCTCAAGCCTGTAATCCCAGCACTTTGGGAGGCCAAGGCGGGTGGCTCACGAGGTCAGGAGATCGAGACCATCCTGGTCAACATGGTGAAACCCCGTCTCTACTAAAAATACAAAAAAATTAGCTGGGCATGGTGGCGCGTGCCTGTAATCCCAGCTACTCAGGAGGCTGAGGCAGGAGAATTGCCTGAACCCAGGAGGCGGAGGTTGCGGTGAGCCGAGATCGCGCCATTGCACTTCAGCCTGGGTAACAATGAAACTCTGTCTCAATCAATCAATCAATCAAAGTTAAGCCAGGCGTGGTGGTTCACATTCGCAATTTCAGCACTTTGGGAGGCTGAGGTGGGCAGACCACTTGAGCTCAGGAGTCCAAGACCAGCCTGCGCAGCATGGTAAAACTCTGTCTCTACCAAAAATACAACAGCAAAAAGTTAGCTGGACATGGTGGTATGTGCCTGTGGTTCCAGCTACTCCAGAGGCTGAGGTGGAAGGATTACTCGAACCTGGGAGGTAGAGGTTGCAGTGAGCTGAGATCATGCCACTGCACTCCAGCCTGGGTGACAGAGTGAAACTCTATTTCAAAATTAATTAATTAATTAATTAATTTAAGGCCAGGCACTGTGGCTCACGCCTGCAATCCCACCAGCACTTTGAGAGGCCAAGGCGGGTGGATCACAATGTCAGGAGTTCAAGATCAGCCTGGCCAACCTGGAGAAACCCTATCTCTACTAAAAAATACAAAATTAGCCTGGAGTGGTGGTGCATGCCTGTAACCCCAGTTACTCAGGACGCTGAGGCAGGAGAATCGCTTGAACCTGGGAGGCAGAAGTTGCGGTGAGCCGAGATCACACCATTGCACTCCAGCCTGGGCAACAAGAAACTCCATCTCACCAAAAAATTAAAATAAAAATAATAAACAAATAAATAAAAAAATAAAAATTTTAAAAAATTAGCCGGGGGTGGTGGTGCACACCCGTAGTCCCAGCCACTGGGAGGCTGAAGTGGGAGGATTGCTGGAACTCAGGAGGCAGAAGTTGCAGTGAGCCGAGATCACACCATTGAACTGTAGCCTGGGTGATAGAGTGAGACTCTGTTGCAAAAAACAAAAACAAAAACAAGGCCGGGCGCCGTGGCTCACGCCTGTAATCCTAGCACTTTGGGAGGCCGAGGTGGGTGGATCACCTGAGGTCAGGAGTTCAAGACCAGCCTGGCCATCATGGAGAAACCCCATCTTAAATAAAAAACAACAACAAAAACAAACAAACAAACAAACAAAAACCAACCATGTGTCTTACCCTCTCATTGCCCTTATGAGAAAAGCCGGATACGTGGGTCGCCATTTGAAACGCTGTGAGTCTGGTTCGTACACCGCCAGCCTTGTCTCTTGCTACTGCGACCTCTCTAACCTGCATTACAGCCCCCTCTGCGGTCTCAGCTCTCCCCACACCCTCAGGCCCTTTCCACCTCTGTGGCTCTACAGAGCTGTTCCCTCTGCCCTGACATGCCCTCTCTCTTGTGGTGAACTCCCAGGTGTCTTCAGGGCCCTGCCCCAGAGCTCTTGCTCAAGGAGCCTCCCACCACTAGGTCCCCTCTGAGCTTGGTTGCACTCAGCTGCCCGGAACTGGTCTTGGTTGAGTAGATCTGACGGGATGTTGGGAACAGAGGTCCTCCCCTCGTGCCAGGAGCCAGATCGCAGCCCGTCGGGGCCTCCAAGCCTCTGTCTTGCTGGCACAGCAGGTGCTCTGACAATGTTCGCAGAATGAACAAACATGCTCGAAGGAAATTCCCGAAGGAAGGTTTACGGTGGCAAGGATGGGGTGGCGGTTCCCAGAGCTTTAAACTTTTTGTGTTTCCAAGTTTTCAGCAAAGAGGGTATCTGCATCTAGACAGACAGATGAGAGAGAGAGAGAGAGAGAGAGAGAGAGAGAGAGGGAGAGAAATGATAGATAGATAGATAGATAGATAGATAGATATTGTTTAAGTGGATAAAGTGATTCTTTGGTGAATAGTTTGACAATTTGAATCAGCTTAGGTTTCACAAACTGGGACTCACCCAGATGAATGAAGCTATACTACAAATAAGGATAAAGCAGATGATAAAGAATCAGGACCCACCCCGCCAAACCCCTCTTTATCTTTACTACTTTGTCTTCATCCTGAGACAGTGTGTGTGCGTGTAACTGTGAGTGGTTTGTGTGTACATGTGTGCTCGAGTGTGTGTAGTGTGTGCATGTGACTGTGACTGTGAGTGTGCAAATGTGTGTGAGAACATGAGTGGTTTGTGTGTGCACGTGTGTGCGAATGTGTGCATGTGTGAACGTGTGTGTGCAAGCGTGTGTGACTGTGTGAGTGGGAGTGCGGGTATGTGTGAGAGTGTGTGTGTGAGTGTGAGTGTGTGAATCAGGCTTGACAGATGCAGGACCCAGGACCTGGAGCTTGCCACATCCCTGCGCACCCCACCCTGCAGAGGCTTCCGCACAGCCCCTGCCCCCTACGGCCCCACCGGGACAGGATGGCTCCCCCTGCAGCATGCCTGTCTCCTGCTAGCTCCACTGACCTCCTGTTTATTTCTTTCATGTTCTTCCTTTCTCTCTCTTTTTTTTTTTTGAGACAGAGTCTCGGTTTGTTGCCAGGCACCAGGCTGAAGTGCAGTGGAGCGATCTCGACTCACTTCACCCTCTGCCTCCCGGGTTCAGGCAATTCTCCTGCCTCAGCCTCCTGAGTAGCTGGGATTACAGGCACGCGCCACCATGCCCAGCTAATTTTTGTATTTTTAGTAGAGACGGGGTTTCACCATGTTGGCCAGGATGGTCTCGATCTCTTGACCTCGTGATCCACCCACCCCGGCATCCCAGAGTGCTGGGATTACAGGCGTGAGCCACCGCGCCCGGCCTCTCTCCTTCCTTCCTTTCATCCTTCCATCCATCCATCCTTCCTTCCTTCCTTCCTTCCTCTCTTTCATTCTTTCTCTCTTAGACAGTTTCACTCTCATTGCCCAGGCTGGAGTTCAGTGGTGCAATCTCAGCTCACTACAACCTCTGCCTCCCGGGTTCAAGTGATTCTCCTGCCTCGGCCTCCCTAGTAGCTGGGATTACAGGCATGTACCACCACACCCAGCTAATTTTGTGTTTTTAGTATAGACAGGGTTTCACTACGTTAGTCAGGCTGGTCTCGAACTCCCAACCTCAGGTGATCTGCCCGCCTCAGCTTCCCAAAGTGCTGGGATTACAGATGTGAGCCACCAGGCCCAGCCTCACGTTCATTTTTCAATAGATTCACCTTTTATAACTTAAAATGGTTTATTGTAAAGAAAGCTTTAAATAACCAATGGAAACGAAAAGCCAGCCCCACGTGCCATGAACAGCCCCAACTGTTTGGATTTCATTCTGGCAGGCTTGGCTCTCAGAGGCTTTCTTGGCTCTAAAGGAAGCCCAGCTTGGGCCAGATCAGGTGTTAAGGCCACCTGAGCACCAAACTGAGCCTCAGTGATGAGATGAAAGAATGAAAGAGCTCAGGAAGAGAAGATGGTTCTCCCCAGGGGATTCTGGGGTGTTCCCAAGTCATCTGGGCCCAGCACTCTTCGGGCCAGGCTGCTCTGGTCCCCGGCCCCCATGGCCATGGCAATGGACAGCATACATCCCGCATTCAGTGGGTTCTCATCCTGACCATGAGGTGGGGGTCGGGGAGACACTGAGCCTGTTTTAGAAGTGGAAATGGCTCCGGTAGGGGGGCTGTATCCATCGCCACACAAGGGGAGGTCTTTCAGGTCTCATCCTGACCATGACTCCCTCCATTCAATTCTTTTCTTTCTTTTCTTTTCTTTTCTTTTTTTTTTTTTTTGAGACGGAATTTTCACTCTTGTTACCCAGGCTGGAGTGCAATGGCGCAATCTCAGCTCACCGCAACCTCTACCTCCTGGGTTCAGGCAATTCTCCTGCCTCAGCCTCCTGAGTAGCTGGGATTACAGGCACGCACCACCATGCCCAGCTAATTTTTTGTATTTTTAGTAGAGACGGGGTTTCACCATGTTGACCAGGATGGTCTCGATCTCTCAACCTCGTGATCCACCCACCTCGGCCTCCCAAAGTGCTGGGATTACAGGCGTGAGCCACGGCGCCCTGCTCTTTTCTTTCTTTCTTTCTTTCTTTCTTTTTTTTTTTTTTTTTTTTTGAGACAGACCTTTCTCTGTCACCCAGGCTGGAGTGCAGTGGTGCAATCTTGGCTCACTGCAACCTCCACCTTTCAGGTTCAAGCAATTCTCCTGCCTTAGCCTCCCGAGTAGCTGGGAATACAGGTACATGCCACCATGCCAGCTAATTTTTGTATTTTTAGTAGAGAAGGGGTTTTGCCATGTTGGCCAGGCTGGTCTTGAACTCCTGACCTCAGGTGATCCTCCCACCTCAGCCTCCCAAAGTGCTGGGATTATAGGCGTGAGCCATCATCCGGCCTCCCCCATTCAATCTCAGTGACATGACTCCATACCCACCCATACCACTGAGATGCCCTTTCAGACCCTCAGAGCCTCTTGCACCAAGGAAGCCAATTCGCTGCCCACTGGGCTGACTGGCATGGGCCGCCCCCACTGCCCAGGAAGCCCTACTCAGCCCATGACTTCGCTGCCTGTGCAGTCCAGGCCCTGGCGAGGGCCAGGCATGGAACATGTGCTCAGAGAGATGCGGTCAGAGCCAAGGGCACAGAGCAAGATGCAGGAAGAGCCCAGGCTAGAGCCGGCTCTGCCTGAACGTGAGCCTCTAGGAGCAGGGGCCCTGCCACTCGGTCAGCGCCAGGTCCTCAGGCCAGACATGCCCTGTTCGAGGAAGGGCCCTGGGCCTCCCAGCAGAGCTTGAGGAGGGTGGCTTGCAAAGTGGGGGCTGAGGGGCCTAGAAGGGACGGAGGGTGAGGGGCTGGGGACTCTTGGCCAGATGGGCACAAGCAGATGAATCAAGTCCAACTGGAAGCAAAGAAAAAGGAGCAAAACCAAATGTCCTTAGAAATTTCTTTAGTGCTCAGCTGTCCATGAAAACAGGATAAGCAGCTTCCTCCGCCTGTGCTCAGCCGGGCAGGGTGGAGGCGCTGCGCTCAGGCCAGGAGGACCCCGGATCAGGACGGGGTGGGGTGCGGCCCAGAGCCGGGAAGCAGCCCCAGGCGTTGCTACTTGAGTGTGTCCAGGTGGGTGCAGACCTGGGAGAAGACACTGTCCACGGAGCCCTCGGCGTTGACCTGTGGGGAGACGGGCCTCGAAGGCTGAGTCACCAGGCGGAGTGGGGTGGGCCTCGCCATGGCAGGCCCTAGAGGCCAGGCCTGCCTCCCCCAGCCCGACCTAATTGACAGCAGCCCCGCATTGAACCAGTGGGGAAACCCAGGCCCAGGACAGGGGCTGGCCTGAGGCCACACGGCGAGCTGAGGCTGAGCCATGCAGGAGCCCGTGTTTCCCGGAGCTCCCCCGGCCCAGCGGGCACACCTTGCGTACGATGCCACGTTTCTCGTAGAAGGCGATGACGGGTTCTGTGGCCTTGTAATAGGTCTCCAGCCGCTTTTTGATGGTCTCCTCATTATCGTCCACACGCCCACTGGTCTGTCCGCGCTTCAGGAGCCGCTGGGTCATGGTCTCAGGGCCTGCGTCCACATACAGCAGCAGTGTGGGCTGTCCAATCTGCAGGCGGGCACCATGTCACAGGGACCCCGTTCCTGCCCCTAGGGCCATCTCCTCCCCATCTTCCCACCTCTGAGGCCCCACGAGATACCCACTTGGACCTTCAATCCCTTCCCCAAGGCAGCCTGAAAGACCTTCCTAAAACCAATCTTCCCTACCACTCCCCTGCTCAAACCTCTACCATGGCTCCCCAGTGCCCTCAGGAGAAAGTCCATACTCTTTGCCAGACTTAGAGAGCCCGACTGTCTCTGTTCTAGGCTCTCATCACCCTCCTTCCATGCCAGGCCTGTGCTCATGCTGTCCCCCCACAGGAGCCCTCTCCCCCAGGCCTGATCCTAACTCACCTTCACCTCAATACCAAGTACTTTCCATCAGGTTTCAGCCCAGAGCTCGCTTCTTCAGGGCAGTCTTCCCAGTGCCACCCCCGCCCCACCCATTGCTCCTGGCCTCCTGGAACGGGCTCTTCCAGCCCTTTCTCTCTCCTTGGGCAGGTCTCTCAAGGGGCCCCTGAGGGCAGGGAGGCATCTGTCTCACAATTTGCCTTTGACAAAGGAACAAGGAATGAGGGAAGGGGTCAGTGGCTGCTGAGTTCTGGGGGGTTCTGAGCAATGTCACTATCACCGGGACATTATGTCATCTACGTCATCCACGTCATCTATGGGACACCTCTAGAAAGGCAAGAGGAATAAGGCTCTGCAGCCCCTGCCTCGCTCAATCCAGCCACCAGAGCTGGGTAAGGAGTGGCCAACTGGGAGGGCAGAGCCACCCCAGAGCCACCCATGGCTGCCACAGCCTCAGGAATGGGGTGGGGACCTTCAAGCCCTGCCTCCTGCTTCCAACTGCCTAGGCCAGTCCCCTGGGGCTTCTGCAAAGCTTTGGCCCCTGAGCCCTGTCAAGGCCTCAGAGTGCTGTTTCTCAGGTCAGGCCGTTTCTCGCCTCTGTCCAGCTAAGAGATTTGTCCCAGGTCACACAGCTGGACAGAGGCAAGAAGCAGCCTGATCTCCAGCATTAGACTGACCTGGACCCAGGCTCACCCCTGCCTCTCTCTGTCCAGCTGTGTGACCAACAGACTTGTCCCAGGTCACACAGCTGGACAGAGGCGAGAAGCAGCCTGATCTCCAGTGTTAGACTGACCTGGACCCAGGCTCACCCCTGCCTCTCTCTGTCCAGCTGTGTGACCTGCGGCAAGCCCTTTGTCCTCACCTGTGATACCCATCCTAACACTCATCCCTAGCTCCTGGGTAGGAAAAGGTTCAGGGTGACAGCATCAGCTGCCTTCAGGGAGGACAGTTCCTGCTGTCTGATGACCCCGCACCATCCAGCAACTGCTCTTATCTTACAGATCACCGTGGGGGCAAAGACTGGGCCTGGACCCAGCAGTCTGACCTCAACTTCAAGGCCACCCGCCCCACCCGCTATCATCTATTAGCTGCTGAGCTCCTCCAGGGCACAGACTCACAGTCTCTGGTTCATCTGGGTGTCCAGAACCACACATAGGAGGCTCTTTATAGACCCCCTGGCAGAGGTGGTAAATCTAGGAGGGCCAGCTCAGCCTCTGGGATTGAGATTCTGGCTGGGAGGCCTCAGTTTCCAGTCAGGCCAATGAGCCTTTAGGCTGGGAGTCCACACCGGGCACTCCTAGTCCCCAGAAAAGCCCTGGGCCCTTGGCCTGGTTCAGCCGGCCACACTTCCAGGGTGACCCTTCCTCCTTTGGTGAAGCCCTGGCGCCTCCTGGTGTCCAAAGCTAAGAAGACCAGCTGCCTGGACCCGTGGAGGCCAGGGCAGGGCGGAGCCCCGCGCTGAGCCTGCAGTCCTCAGCAACACCCGCAACAGCCCTGGGAGTGGTGGGAGTGGGGGACTTTTTTTTTTCTTTCTTTCTTTTTGAGATGGAGTCTCACTCTGTCGCCCAGGCTTGAGTGCAGTGGCATGATCTTGGCTCACTGCAACCTCCATCCAGCCAGGTTCAAGTGATGTCTCAGCCTCCTGAGTAGCTGGGATTACAGGTGCCCGAAAGCACGCCTGGCTACATTTTGTATTTTTAGTACATGGGGTTTCACTATGTTGGCCAGACTGGTTCTGAACTCCTGACCTCAAGTGATGTGCCCTCCTTGGCCTCCCAAAGTGCTGGGATTTCAGGTGTGAGCCACCACTCCCGGCCGACTTTCATTAACTCTATTTTCTAGATGTGGCCCTGAGGGTCACAGGTGATACCACACAGCTGGTATGTGTGGGCCAGCCCAGGACATGCCCTCTGAACTGTGGCACCTGACCACACCGTCGGGGTTCTGAGGTCTGAAGGAAGCCAACTAACCCCCATTTTGGATAGGGAAGGTGAGGTGCAGAGCGGGGTAGACACTTTCTTGAGCTCGCGCAGCCATTCAGAGGTCAAAAACTAGTCTCCTACCCCCAGCTGAGGCTGGAAGCTAAGGAAGCCTGGAAGGTCCCATGGAGATGGGAAGTGGGATGGGAGTCTCATCCTGCCCCAGCCCACCGGGATGCCCATTAGGCTCCCCCAACCTTGCCGACCTCTCCCTCCCAGGCCCTTGCAGTCCCATCTGTTTCTTCCAAGGAGCCTTGTGACACCAGCGCTAAAGGTGCACGCGTGTGCTCATGTGCATGTGTGCGCGCGGGCGTGCACCCCTGCATATGTGTGCTGCGTCCATGTCACGCATGTGCAGGAGTGCACAGGGTCCGCTGCTGTGAGTGTGTATGTGTGCACATGCCTCTGGCCCTGTGTGTATAAACTTGCGGGCCCTGTGCACACGTGTGCATGTGTGAGGTGCCCTGTCCTGGGAAAGGTGTGACTGCAGGGCACCCGTGCTAGGAAGCTCAGGGCCATCATTCTCCAGGCCTGCTCCTCATGACCCCTGGAAGGAAACTGATGCCCCTCCATGGCCTTTGCAGCCTCCAACCGGACTGGAACTTCCCTCTCCCATGTCACCCCTTGTTGCCCTGCCTACATATTCTGTTCCCACACTGGCCTTGCCCTTCCATCCCTGCCAGTGCTGTTTCCCTACCCCTCTGTGTGGTTATGGAGGGCCAAGCCCCACACCTGAAGGGCACATCTCCAGTCCCCACACTGCCCCTTAAGGCAGCTGTGACCTGGTCCCCCACAACCCCCTGCATTTTGCAGATGGGGAAACTGAGGTTCCGGAGGCAGAATGACTGTCCCAAGGTACTCAAGCTGTTGAGCTGGAATCTGAGTCCAGGTCTGGGAACTCCCCTGCCTGGTACTTCCCCTTCTTCTAGACTTCCAGAAAGTCTTCCTGGTTTTCCTCCTCACCCACACTCTGCTCAGAGCTCTGCCCTGCACCGCAGCCCCCACAGGCCCACCCACTTGGGTCAGTGCCTTACCCGCCGCTCAAACTCTTCTCCCTGCTGCACCTCCCGCGGGTAGCCGTCGATCAGGAAGCCTTTGGAAGTGTCCACTTTGGCCACCATGGCATCCCGGAGCATGTCCAGCACTGTCTCCTGGGGCACAGCAAGGGAGGAAGGGGCCATGAGCCTCTCCTCCCCACCCCCATCCCTCCTCCCAGCCTTTGCTCATACTGCTCCTGCCACCTGAAATGCCCCTTCCCCCATACAAATGTCCCAAACAAGCCTCCCCCTCTTGGAAGCCTCCTCGGAATTGTGGAGACCTCGACAGTGAATGAATGATGTGTTCACTCAACAGCATTCACTGAGCCCCTCCTTCCATCCCGGTGCTGTCCTGGGTCCCGAGGACACCGCCATGGGCCAATCAGACCTTCCCTGCCCTGGAAAGCTCAGGGGCTGGTGAGGGCACAGACAGTTCCACAGTTGATTTCTCCATTTCCAAGTGTGGCTTGGAAAGGGGGGCTTCTGAAGTGAAAGTTGGGGAGTTGTAGGCCAAATCTGGGGAGTCAGGGAGGTCTGAAAGCTGAAGAGGAAATATTCCAGGCAGGAAGGAGAGTGGCCAGTTTGAGGGGACAGAGGCCAGGGTGGCTGAAGGATAGAGGGGCAAGGGGATAGTGGGGGGCAGGGCAGAGTCCTGCAGGGTCTTGGGAGCTTCTGAAAGGAACTTTCTGTCCAGGGCAATGGAGAACCACAGAAGGGTTCAGAGCTGCGGGTGGTCACAGTCAGCTTTGCCTGTGTATCATGGGCTTTGCTGCTGGTGGGACACCCACTCAGGGTTACTGTCACCTCCTCCTCCTCACCCCACCAGGGCCCACTCACCAGCGGCACCAGCTGTCCCTTCTCCATGATTTCCGACAGCTTCTTGCCCCTGGCCGAGCCCGAACTGACCTCGGCGCGCAGGAGGTCCCCGGTGGACAGGTGGGTGTAGCCATACTTCTGCACAATCTTCTCGCACTGGGTGCCCTTCCCTGAGCCAGGCCCGCCTGCAAGCGCCCGCCCATTCATAAACCCCGAGACACAGGGCTCCAGGAGGGACAGGGGCTGCCAGGGTCCCCCAGCGAGGGAGGGCCTGGACTCTATCTAGTGTCTGTGAAGACCCTTGCTGCGCCACCCGCCTGCCCGCAACTCACCCACCACAAAGATGATCTTGGTTTTCTTCAGCTTCTCTGCGGGAGAGAAAAGGGAAGCAGGGCTCAGTCACTCCCTGGACCCACAGCCAGAGGCACCTCTGCAGTCCCCGGCCTGTGCCGGGCCTCGGGCGGAGGGACAGACACCACTGGTGCTCCTGTCAGGGGGCAGGCAAGTCACAGCCCAGAGCGAGCAGGGATGTGACAGAACGCTCAGAGCCTGGGAGAAATCAGAGAAGGGAGGGCACTCCTGGCAGCCAGATGGGCAGGGGCAAAGGCCTGGAGGCTAAGAACTCTCAGCACAGCCAGCGGGCTGGGCCACCAACCCTCATGGCACCTCCCTGTGGGTGGCTGGACCCCCGGGGCTGGTCACCTCTGGCTCTCAGGTCGTCTTCTTTGCGGGGGTCACCGGAGGAACAGCAGCCCATGGTCCCGTGCTGCTGTGTCTCCCGTGTCCCCTGCCCTTCCTCTCCCAGGCCCTGGGTCGGCCCATCACCCGCCTCCCCTGGCAGTGCCAATGTGGGCTTGGCAACCACAACATAGGTTGCCATGGAGATGGTTGCCAGGGTGAAGGGCTGTGGTGGGCACGTGGAACTCTTGCCCAGAGAGGGCGGCGAGCTTGGCTCCAGCCTCTGCCTCGTCCTGCCTGCAGTTAAATCCCAGCAAGGCCACAGCCCAACTGGGCAGAGGGAAGCTGAGCCCAAGAGAGGCAGGGGGATGTCAGAACCAAAACCGGAACCCGAGTCTCTCCCTGGGCTTTCAGGCTTCCCTGCTTCCCAGGCAAATAGAGACCAGGCTGTACCCCACCCACTCGCTGTGTGACTTAGGAAAGGCCTGCCGCTCTCTGGTTCTCTGACCCTTCCCCAGGGAGGAGGTGGGCTGGGGGCTCCCAGGGGCCCTCCCAGCCATGAGGCTAGAAGCCTAAAGGAGCTGTTAGAAGAACAGCTCCTCCTGCGGGCTCCTGTCCTGGGGGTGGGGGAGGCCACACCCCTGCGGCGGTTGATGTTTAGAGCTCAGGAGTGGATGTGTGACGGCTGACTTCAGGCAGCAGCAGCAGCAGGCCCGCCAGGCGCCTTTCAGAGCTGCCCAGGCCGAGGCGCGGTGCCAGGGACTGGAAGGACGGTGCTGCCCGCAGCCGAGTGCGGGCCGTTTCTGCACTCTCTGCCCACCTGTCTCAGGTGGCCTCTAGGTCCCAGCCTGTAGGAGCCAGGAGGGCCCAAGACCTCCTCAAGGCCTACCCCCACTGGATGACAGGGAAACTGAGTCCCAGAGAGGTACAGGAACTTGCCTTGTCCTCACTGGTGTTTTGAGTATCTGTGGCCTTCCCATGGGGCAGGGTCTCAGCCCTATAAATCCAGCATAGTGGGTGAGGACTGGGGCCCCCAGAAGCCTGCGGGAGGCCTTATCACTTCTAAAATTAATCCTGGAAATGGCACATTCTGTGAGAGGCCAGAGGAAGATACTGGAGGCTCCCAGCCAGGCCCCCTCTGGCAGCCCCAGAGCCTCCTCCAGCGCCCCCAGAATGTCTACCCCACAGTACACCCCCTTAACAGACAGGCACGCTGAGGCCAGGCAACAGGCAAGAGGAGACGAGGCTCATACCTTCCATCCTGCCGAGGTCCCGGGAGCTGTGTCAGTGCTCTGCAAGACAGAGGCACAGGTTGGGGGATTTTCCTCCTCACCCTGACTCACCTTCCACTAACCCACACCCAAGGCAGCCGGTGTGTGCCAGGCCCGACACAGTCTGAGGGCAGAGGGGGCCGCTGTGGGCAGGGAAGGCCCAGGACCTTCCCTGAGAAAGTTACCTTGGAGAGTCACCTCGGGAAAGTCACCTTTCCTCTCTGGCCGCCATGGCCTCACCTGTCACAGGACGGCAGTAGCCCCCTCCCATCCACCTGGGTTCCCGCTGGAGGGGCTGGGACAGTGAGGATGGCACCAAGGGACATGAACAGCGGCCACAGCAACTGCAGAGCCGCTCCCCTCAAAACTCCCAGAAAACAGGGCGCGGGGCCAGCGTCTGCCCAGGCGCCTTGACAACGCTCCCCAGGGCCGGAGGGAAGCTGCCAGGAGGCGGGAGGTGGCCAGGAACTGTGTGCGTGTCTGGGACGCGGTTTGGCCGGGGAAGCTCTAAGGGACACAGAGGCCTGGGGTGGAGGAATGTCTGGGAGCCGCTCGCATGAACACAGCCCTTTACAGTTGTCAAAGTGAGGCAATCCAGGCCCTCCTCTCTACACGTCCAGCACCCAGCCCCATGCGTGGCCCTGCCCCCCACCCTTTGAAGACCTGGCTTTACTGCCCCCACCTTGCCTGCCCAAGCATCCAACCACGCCTGGGACGCCCCCCCCCGTGCTGCCACAGCCCCCAGGACCCCCCACCTTGCCTGCCCAAGAGCCCAACCACGAGTGGGACCCCCCCATGCTACCACAGCCCCCAGGACCCCCACCTTGACCCCATCTCAGAACCACCCTCTGGACACCTGTGGCCTCTACCTCTTCACTCCTGCCCACCCCAAGGCCACTCGCGACCACCACAGCCACACTCCCCTCCAGCCTTGACCCCCAGCCAGTATCCCCACCCACACCAGGATCTCACCCCAGGCACCCATGCCACCCTCTTTTCGGATCCCCCATCCCTGTGCAGGCAGCCCAGGCCTCTCTCCCCAGCCACAGACATCCATGCAACCCAGATAGGCCCCAGAAGCCTCAGAGGCTTCTCAGACTCTGCCCTCCCCAAGTCCCCAGCTCCAGGCCCCAATGGCTAAGCCACAGGCTGAGTCAGTGTGAAGGCTCCCCTCTCCTCTCCACAGCCCTACATACCCACTACCCAACCCTCCGTTCCCCACCCTCTCTCCGTCTGTCTCACCACCATGTCCTGTGCTGAGCAAGGGGCCTGGGCCACTGCCCCCACCTCCACATGGGCCTCAAAGCCTCCACACCCTGCCAGGCAATTTGCAGGATTTTCTCCGGCAAGCATCACACCACATCACACACCCGCTTACAGCCTTGCATGTGTGGCCCCCTCGGCTCCCTGACAAAGCCTGCACCCCTTGACAGAGCGGACAGGGCCTGGTGAGCTGACCCCTGCCGCCCTCTGCAACCCTATCAGCTGCCACTGGCAGATGTTGTACCCAATGCCTGGATGCCTTTCCCCACCTTGCTACTGTGTGGGACTCAGCTCAGGTGCCAGCTCCTTCAGGAAGCCTTCCTAGACTCTGCCCTTCACTCCCACAGTGGCAGGTGCCTCCTGGGAACCTGCCCCCACACCACGCTGTACTGGGCCTCTCTTCTGTGCTGTGGGTCTGGGGTCCCACTGACTGGGCCTGGCATGGGCTGAGCGCAGGGCTGGGGAGCCTCATTCCCTCCTCACTGCCGTCTTGGGGCAAAACTGAGACATGCGGAGGAGGACAGACTGGCTCGGGGGCTGGCTAGGGTCCAACTCGGCCCAGGGTTTCTGCTGCTCTGGGCTTGGCACCCACTAGGAGCTGAAGCGACTTTGCTGATGGCCCTGCTGCCCCAGGCAGGAGTGGCAGCCACTTTTCCGCTGAGTGTGCTTCGGCGGGGTCAGGCAATGCCAGGCACCCCTCAGCAGTTGCCCACGGGAAGGGGAGCGTCCTGGGCCAGGGACAACCACAGTGAAGACCTGAGAAGTGGCCTGGACCCCGCCCTGCCCCGCCCCCTCCTGGTAATCTAAGCCCCTCTGTCCTGCTGGCACCTGCCACCTTCTTGCTCCAAAATAACTTGGGTTGTGAGGAGGCCTCACAGAGACCAGGAGGCAAGATGGAGTTGGGTTACGGGCTAAGCACCCAGGCCTTATAAGGCCTCTGGGTCAAGGCCCCAGCGACTCCTAATATGACAGGGTGGTCTGCTAAGGGACCCGTGGGACCGAGGCTCACCCAGAAGGAAAGTGACTTAACCTCAATCACAAGGCAAGGTCGAGGCAAGCCCTGGTCTCCAGCCCCTGACCCAGCCTAGTTGGTTCCCAGTGGTTGGCAACTGACTAGGGTTTGAATCTCAGCTCCATCACTCAGCGGTGTGACCTTGGGCAGTTGATGTTTCCTCTCTGGGCCTGTCCTGCTGCTGCTGAAGAGTACTGGGTGGCCGCTGAGCAGTGCTGTGGGAAGGCCCCAAGCACTGGCCCAGGGGCTCCGGTCAGGAGGCGAGGGTGAGCCCTGAGCTTCTCGGGGGTGTCCTCCAATGTACCCAGCACTAGAAGTGGCATAACAGGATAGCCTCCCGAGCACAGAGGCTGCCCCTGTCCAGGTCCTCTGGGGCAGGGAGCCAGGCCACAGCTTCTCCTCCCTGGGCCCCAGCTGGGACATGCCAAGGGCAGTGACCTGGAGCCCCAGGAGTGCCAGTTGAAACAAAGGGGTGACTATCTGGGAGGCTGTGGGTGGGTGGGGGGCTGCAACACACACACATGCACACACACACACACACACACACACGCACACACACACACACGCAAGGATCCACAAAGGCACAGGCAGCGAGGCACCGATCCCCAGCGCCCGGGGAACACAGCCAAGCAAAACACACACGGATCACAACCACGGAGACACAGCCGCACAGACCCCGGGGAGCCCGGCACCAGCACGCCCCCACCCTCCCCCGGTGCCGCTGCCCCTCCCCGCGGAGGCGCCCCCCAACCCCGACACGCGCGGGCACGCACTGACCTGGGGAGGGGTACGGGTGGGCGCCGGGGCCAGTGCGTACCCTACCCGTCCTCGCGGCCGCCGGCAAAGGCGACTATTTATAAGGCTGTCAGCGCGCGGCATGCCGGGAGCCGGCGCTCCCGAAGGCAGGGAGGGCGGGAAGGAGGGAGGGAGAGCGGACCGGGGACCGGGAAGCGGGGCGGGACCGAGCCCCAGCCCGGGTGCGCAGCGAGACAGCGCCCGGCACCGTGCGCCCCGCACCGTGCACCCTCAGGTGGCTGTGCCCACACACGCGCACTACGCTTTACAGTTGGCCAAGAGTTTTCCATTGCAGTACCCCCACTGTGCCCAGGGTACACTCCAGGGTACAAGGCCAGGCTTTCCCTATAACTGGAGAAACTGAGGCTCGGAGAGGAGCGGCTCTTTGCACAGAATCCCATAGTGCATTGGTGGCAGAAAGGCCAGAGCAGGGAGCCAGGGGACTGAGGCATGCACTCAGGGGCTTTGCTGACCATGGTCCCTACGCTGGTCCTCAGAGCCTGGCCAGGAGCCCTGGCCAAGACCCGTCTGGGACTCCTCCTCCCCTGTTGGGAGGCATCCTTCGAGCTCCTCTGGAACTTGAACCCCTCAGGACCCAAAAGACCACCCAGTAAGGTAGATGATTTAAAAAAACCATCCCTGCTCCCATGGAACTGCTGGGCAGCTCCCAATGAATGAGCGCTAGGATGTGGGACATTCCGAAGGCTGTGGAGAGGCAGAGAGGGCTTGACGGTCCTGATGAAAGAATAGCTCCCATTAACGAGCACTCACTGGCTAAGCAGTGGATTCAAACCGCACCTGTGAATCCTGAGCCATAGCACAACAGGAGGCAAGCAAGTCAAATACTCTGCGCGAGGCTCCCTGGTAGAAAGCCGTGTGTTTATCCAGCGTTTTGCAGGGGGACTGGCACATAGCAGTAGGTGCTCAGTGATGTAGCAGGGCAGGGATGGGAGCCCAGGACTATCCAGCTTCGGAACTCACATACTTGACCACCAAACCACATTACAACCTTGAAGACAGCAGCCCCGAATGGTGAGGTGGGTGGAATTTGGAATTTGTCTTATAGGCCCTAGGGAGCCATAGAAGGTATTTGAGCAAGAGAGTGAGACTACCAGGAGATTGAGATTGCCTTCAGTGCTGGTGCCTTAGCAACCACAGCAACCAGGAGACCAGGAGGCGTGAGTCTCTGCCACCTGTGATGTCAGACAAGTCCTTACTTCTTGGGACCTTAGTTTCCCCATCTGTGGGGGGGGGGCAGGTACAGTGGGGTGAGAGGTTCTGTATTAGAAGCTGTTTGAAAGACCCTCTCAACGGTATGTGCATTGGCACCTTTGGGGAAAGCAATTGATAAAGTAAATCAAAATTTCAAATGCACTGGGCATGATGGGTCACTCCTGTAACCCCAGAACTTTGGGAGGCCAAGGTGGGAGGATCACTTGAGCTCACTTGAGCCCAGGAATTCCAAGACCAGTCTGGGAAACATAGTGAGACCCTGTATCTAAATATAAAACATACACACACACCTTCAAATGTGCCCTTCTACTTTAAGAACTTCATTTCAAAGAAACGTGGGCACAAATTTACACAGGAAGGTTTTAGAGTGCCAGCGGGGACTGACTGGGATGATCGCACAGCCAAGGTGGGTGAGGAGTTGGCAACGTTGGCATAGGGTATGAGTGAGAAAAGAAGCCCAAGTTCTTTGTGGTTAATGGGACCAGAGGCTTCAGACACACATAGCAGTGGTGAGAACTAGGCAAATGGCCCCACTGTACTCCTCTGATCCCACCTGCATAAAAATGACTTGAGGCTGGGAGCGTTGGCTCATGCCTGTAATCCCGGCACTTTGGGAGGTGGACACAGGAAAATCACTTGAGGCCAGGAGTTCAAGACCAGCCTGAGCAACATAGTGAGACAGTCTCCATTCTTTAAATAAAAATAACAAATTTTAAAAATACTCTAAATATGCAAATGTGTATTTGTGTGTGTATATGTAAAATCTATTCTCAGACTTTTTTTTTTTTTTTTTTGCGCCTTAACTCTACAAAGTTAAAATCATATTGTCTTACAATCAAACTGACAACATCTTAGAGTGGGTGAAATGAAATAGACAGAGAGGGCCGGTGTGTGCATATGACCACCTAGCCGGACTGGCTGGAGATGAGACTTCTGCTTCCTACTTAAAGGTGTCCCCAGGCTTTTTTTTTTTTTTTTTTTTTTTTTTTTGAGATGGAGTCTCACTCTTGTTACCCAGGCCAGAGTGCAATGGCAAGATCTTGGCTCACTGCCACCTCCGCCTCCTGGGT